AGGTGGCGAAGGGGGAGGAGAGAGGGAGGGAACAGAGGGAGGTGGAGGGAAGGAGGGGACAGAGGGAGGAAGGGGACGAGGAGGAGGAGGGGGGTGTCTGACACTGTCATTCTTGAGACATACATTGCAAGAATCTGTCCGCTATTCGGTGTCCTATTGACACTCGCTGCTCTCGAGCAACAATCGGGAAACAATCGGGAAACAATCGGGAAGCAATCGCAAACACTGGGCCACATCGCCGGGCATCCTCGCTGTGACAATGAGCGACCTCCGGCCCCCTAGCCCGGTGCGAGTCAACGACAGGGGAGACAACACCTGACAGGTTTGACATTGCCAGTCACTCGCTACGTCACCACCATGCAGCTAAATGTGCCCGCTCTACTTTACTGTTCCACATTCGCGATTCGCCACTAACTAGAACCATTCCTATTCGACACGACTATTCGGTATTCCCGATTTTCACCACTAGAGCTAAGCCTATTCGACAACTATTAGATATTCGCGATTCATTGTTATTCGAGGGGTAGAAGACATTTGAATACTATTCATCATTCACGATTGTTCTTCTACTCACAGCAATTCCAAACGAAGAAGAATTCCAGTACTGTGTGGCAGAACCAGCATGGCACAGGGGAAGGAAAGACGGTTTATTAACCAAATGAACACCGGAACGATCAGCAGATGGACTCTAAGGTGGATATTGGAGCGAGGAGCGGAGCAATATGGCAATGTCCGGAGTGCTAAGATGTTGTTCCCAGGAGCAAGTAATCAAGTGGTTTTACAGACAATGGATTTTTGTCTCATTTGTCTCAACCTGTTGTAAAATTAGAGACATTACCGGCATATCTAAAATCTTTGAGGTCTAATACAGTAATACTTTGTGTCTTGATGATTACAATGCAGAGTGATAAGTTGAATGTTTGCGAGACAATGATCAGAGGAGTCTACAAGAAGTACAAAATATGCTTCGAAGAAGTAAAGTCAATTTTGAATAACGAATGCTTTGCCGATGAACTCATTACATTAAGGAGGAAGAGGACAACATTCCCACATGGTATTCGAATAGCACGAACAGTGACTGTACGCTTCGATGCATCGACAAAGTTTCGTTTCTTCAAAATCACAAGGCGCAAGACCTAGTCACCATGGGAAGTCTTCGCTAATGGCGGGCCCGGTTTTGTGTGTGTGTGAGGGAGGGAG